GAGTGGGGTGTCGGTGGGGGTTCGGGGTACGGGTGAGCGGATAAGGGGAGTGGGGGAAGTGGCCGACCTGGTGGCCCGGTTGGGCTGCAGGCCTGCTGGGCCGGAGCCCGGGGGTTCTTTTCCTCTCTTTTTTTTGTTAGTTTTGTTTTCTGTTTGTTTAATTTCTTTTTATTTATTTTTCTTTTCTATTTATTTTTAGTTTCCTCTAAGTTTCTGTTTTATAAAAATTACTGCTAGTACCTAAACGTGCATTTATAATCATACTACTGCCACAACAATTATTTACCCAAAACAAAATAGTTTAATATTTAATAAAATCCAATATGTATTTATTTAATTGTTTTAACTACTGTTTTAATTACCTAATTGCATTCAAACCTTTTCTAAGAATGTGGTTTCTCCACAATTACTAATTATTCATTATTTGGCCCACTCCGAACATTTTAGTTTTAATATTTGAAAACTTTTATTGTTTGCTAGAATTTGAATTTGAATTCAAATCGATTTCAAACTAGCGCGAGATTAGCAACTGTAACCGTGGTGACGTAGCATCATTAACGTGGGATTACGGTAGCTAATTATCCCGGCGTTACAACACACTTAAGGTTCGGTGACGCTAGAGTTGCTATGGGAAATAGTATGTGGTTACCGAAGGTTGTTCCGAGTCCCGGATGAGATCCCGGACGTGACGAGGAGCTCCGGAATGGTCCGGAGGTGAAGATCGGTATATTGGACGAAGGGTATTGGACTCCGGAATTGTTCCGGGGGTACCAGGTGATGATTAGTGTGTCCGAAAGGGGTTTCGGAGGCCCCGACAAGCGTTGGGGGGCCTTATGGGCCAAGGGGAGGGGGCACATCAGCCCACTAAGGGGCTGAGCGCCCCTCCCACCCCATCTCACGTAACTAGGAGAGGTGGGGGCGCCACCCCTAGGGCAGCCGCCCCTCTCGGCTTGGGGGGCAAGTTTCCTAGGGGGTGGGGGCGCCCAAACCCATCTAGGGTTTCCCCTGTGGCCGCCGCCCCTCCCCTAGGGAACCCTAGGGCGCCTCCTCCTCCTCCCTTCCCCCTATATATTGTGAGGGAGAGAGAGGGCAGCCACACCCTTCCCCTGGCGCAACCCTCTCCCTCCTCCAACACCTCCTCCTCCTTCTCCGTAGTGCTTGGCGAAGCCCTACCGAAGAACCACGAGCTCCATCACCATCATGCCGTCGTGCTGTCGGGGTTCTCCCTCAACTTCTCCTCTCCCCTTGCTGGATCAAGAAGGAGGAGACATCCTCGGGCTGTACGTGTGTTGAACGTGGAGGCACCGTTGTTCGGTGCTTAGATCGGATTCAGCCGCGATCTGAATCGCTTCGTGAACGACTCCACCGACCGCGTTCTTGTAACACTTCCGCATCGCGATCTTCAAGGGTATGAAGATGCACTCCCTCTCTCTCGTTGCTAGTCTCTCCATAGATTGATCTTGGTGATGCGTAGAAATTTTTTAATTACGTTCCCCAACATGTAGGACATAAGTATATTGTCATTTTCATCGTCGCGAACATGGCAAAATGTTCTTTTCTTGTTATCATGGATCATACCAATGCATGCGTACTGCTTTAGTAGTGGCAGCAACGGCCCTGCAGAAATGAGTTGACTGTACTCTGCTGCATCCCAAGGGGGCGTTTCTGGCCTTTGAGAAACCCAAGAATCAGTGCCATCTTTGTGATTCATTCTTTTCCCTCGTTTTGATTCTGCCAATGTGTTCTCAATCACTGCATGAACAAGAACGCATCAACAGTCCGCAAAAAATGCATTTTATGCTGTTTGCATGTAGACGATAACACAACAATCTTATCACATTTTTCTGTGTAGGCAACCAACACATCATGGCAAATAGGACATGCACATCCACTATCTTCTCTGAAATCTGCGTGCGAGCTATTATTTTGAACCGACGGCAACAACTACTTCAACAGGATGGCAAGCAACATTGTAACATGGTGGCAGCTAGCGGCAACGATAGGCGGCAACTAATGTTAGACACAAGTGGCAACTATTTTTTCCTACCCCCTTATGCCAAATTTCTCCCTTTCTCTCCCTTTTTAGGGATTCCTACACATCCTTCATTACCAACTACCTACACCAAATGAATCTAGAGCCTAAGCTTAACCCTGGCGTACTACATGCAGATCTGATGTTTGCTGCCTGGTAAACATGAACACACACAAAAACGTGTAGTGTTTTTCGCTCCGATAGATCTGGTGTATGCTGTTCGAGGAGATCCAGTCGCCATCCTCATTGGTAGATTTGCAATTTGGACTTCTAAATTCTGGCAGAAGAAGGGTGAGAAACAATGGTAGATTGGAGACTCACCTGCTTTTTAGCTGGTCGTCTCTCGAAGGCTTGGTTGGAGTTGGGAGGGGGGGGGTGTGGTTAGCGGTGGGAAGTCCCTACGGATCTGCTCTGGTTGCCATGGCAACCAGAGAAGGACGGTGATGGAGGTACGGGATCGAGAGGTGGGAGAAGGTGGCGGCAGTTTGGACTGGGGATCAAAAGGAGGCCGGGACGGCTGGGTCGTGCGGGCAGCGCGGGCGTCTGGCCCGGACGTGCGGGCTGTGTTGCCACATACCGGACGTGCGGACTGTGGGTGCGGGCGCCCGGACGCGGTCGTGCGGGCGGGTTCTTCCCCAGGCCGCACGAGGCGTGCGGCACAACCCCCCACACCAGACGTGTGGCAGTTATCGGCGTCCATTAAAAAACACTTGTTGAAGCGATCAATTTTTATTTTATTTTTTAAAAGTAGGACACCTTTCATATATATGCTTTTGAAGTTTTGAACACCCATGGCCATGGGGTACTAGAGAATGTGGGTGCTTTATTTATTTACTCTTAATGATTGATTCTCTTTCTTTTTTGAGGCAAAGGCCCTCTTTGTTTTTTGTTTTGTGTTTGGGTTTGTGCGCGTGGACGGTGTCGTGTCCCCCTGCCAACGTTGGACCAGCGACAAGAGACGACCGGACCGGCACCGGCAGATCAAACATTCATCTTTCATCAAAGAAAAGACCCGACTTTTCTCCTCTCCTCTCCTCTCCCCTCTCCGCCTCCGTCCGACTGCGTCGCGGGAGAATCCAAGCCATGGCCGGGCACGCCAAGCTCCTCCTGTACATTGTGGTGGTGGACGAGAGTGGCGCCTCCTTCCGCTACACCCGATCCCTCCTCCACAGCACGCTCCAGCTCATGGGATGCAAGCCCAGGCACGCATTCGAGGTCTCCTCCCTTCTTCTTTCCCCTCCCCTCTTGGATCCGATTCCGTCCCCTCTGTTTCTGTTTCTGATTTTGATTTCGATCTCTCTGATTTCTCCAAATCAAATCAAATCAAATGAAAAAACAAACAAAAAAAAGATTAGCCGGCGGGTGTTCGATGTGGTCCGCGGCGACCCCGCGGAGATGGAGATGCTCATGGCCATGTCCGGCAGCCAAGGGGGCAGAGGGGTGCAGCGTTACGAGCTGCCGGACGCCGCCACCAGCCCCAGGCAGTTCCAGTTCGAGCTCTACAAGCGCCGGACGACGGTGCTCATCCCCAGGGACCTCTTCCTCCACCTCGTCTGCCAGGCCCTGGCCCTCTACAAGTACCTCGCCCCAAACCAGAGGAACCACCTCACCCTAGCCTGCAGGCAAGCTCCCCCCCAACTCTTCCTCATTCACAGGGAGTACCAACCTCATACATGAGGAATGTTTCTCCAATCTTCTCTTTTAACAAGCATTTCATTTCATGAGGGAGGCCCAACTGATTGATTTGGTCTCGGCACTTTCAGAGAAACCAGATTATTATTATCTAGAGCAGAGCAGAGCTTACATGAGTATGTACATTATTATCACCACACACTGCTTCTGTATGTTTCTAGTCCACCACATATATATATCACCAAGTGGCAAATTAGTTGTTGCTGTCTGTCTGTCAGGAGCTAAAACCAGATTGAATTTCCCTTGTTTGCAATGCAACTATGTGGAGTAAATCAATCAGATTGAATTCCCACCACACATGTCACTCATGGCAGGGCAGGGGAACCAACTTTCAAAGGAATCTGATATCATTCCTTCATTTATCTCTCTTCCCTCCCTCCCCAGGATTCGTGAAAGAAAGGAGTCCGTCACGGTTCTTCTATGCGGAACAAGTGGTTGCGGCAAGTCCACCCTTTCTACTTTGCTGGTACATACACACATCACCTTTTTTCTCTCTTTCCTTTTGCATTCTTACTCTATCATTTCCTATGCGATTACTTGTTCTTACCAGAGCTGGAATAAACAATAAGGTAAATTAGTCAGCCTGTCGATGCCATCAGCAAAACAATGATTTTTACCATCTCTTTATCGGTTCGGATTTGGGCTATCAATAATTTATTTCTTTTTCAGTTAGCTGCTATGTTCCAAACTTTTAAGCATTCCAATGTATGTATCTGTTCAACAGGGGAGCAGGTTAGGGATCACCACTGTAGTTTCCACAGATTCCATTCGCCACATGATGCGGAGCTTTGTTGACGAGAAGGAAAACCCCCTTCTCTGGGCATCCACTTATCATGCAGGTGAATGCCTCGACCCGGTGGCTGTTTCTGAAGCAAAAGCCAGGCGGAAAGCAAAGAAACGCTCGGGCGTCTCAAGCAACTCAGGTATGGATTATGAGGGCAGCGGAGACAAGGTTGAGGGAAAACCAATTGGGAAGAAACAAATGGCTATAGAAGGTTATAAGGCACAGAGTGAGATGGTCATCGACAGTCTGGATCGGCTTATCACCGCGTGGGAAGATCGCAAAGAATCGGTCGTTGTTGAGGGTGTTCACTTGAGCCTTAATTTTGTGGTATGTGCTACTGAAAACCATAACAATTTTTTTCCTGTGTACATTTTACTGCCATTCTTATGCCCTGTTAAGGTGGTATGCCGAAAATGCTCTGTTTTCGGTTTCTTTTCCAGTCAAGGTGGAATTATAAGTTCACGTCAGTCTGTTCTTATGCCCCCCTTTATAGTATTTATTTAGTATGAATTTGTCAAATAATTCCGATATTTCAGATGGGCTTAATGAAGAAACATCCATCAATAATTCCTTTTATGATCTACATATCCAATGAGGGCAAGCACACTGAGAGGTTTGCCGTACGTGCAAAGTACATGACGCTTGACCCAGCCAAAAATAAGTATGTCAAATACATCAACAACATTAGAACCATCCAAGAGTACCTCTGTAGCCGAGCTGACAAATACCTAGTTCCCAAGGTGAACAACACAAACGTTGACCGGAGCGTGGCTTCCATCCATGCCACCGTCTTTAGCTGCCTCCGCAGGCGAGCTACCGGAGAGCAGTTGTATAACGCTGACACAAACACAGCGGCGGCTGTAAATGAAGAGTACAAAAACCAATGTGTTGCCAACTCCATGAGTTCCAAGGGGATGTTCAAATTAATCCAGCGCCTAGGATCCTCAAGGAAGCTCATGGCCATCGTTGATGTGGATGGATCCGTTTCAAAGGCTTGGCCGGTTGAGTCAGGTGATGGGGATGGGAAATGTGGTTCCCAAGGTGGCGGAGACCAGAAATCTCTAGGAAACCCAATATATGGACCTCTGAATATTGGAAGGGCGGAGTCGGTGAATCTCCAGTTTGGCTCCTTTGGAATAAGTGCATGGCCTACCGACACAGGCTGTACAAGTCAAGGTGGAAGTGTCGACGGCTCGTGGATCAACGGTAATGAAGGCAGTAGCAGCAGCCATGTTGCATCTTCATCCGGCGGCTCCCCTAAGAAGGCCGATGGACATCATAAAGAGGTAAGCAGCAATTTAACTTGGTACTATCTGGCAGCATGAACTTGTCTGATCTTTTCGGCACAACTTTCTGTCAGTGAACAAGAGAGAAACACCGTCAAATTTGTTATCTTATAATTGCTGATATATTTATTTTTGTTTGTCGGGGACTCCTCCTAGATTAAAGAGTCAGCAGCAGCATCTGGCAGTGACGATGACGACGAAGAAGAAGCTGATGTTCCACCTAATTCAGGGAGTGATGAGGACCTAAGCGAAGAAGATCACGACGAAAACCATGATGAGGTGAGGACCTTCATTTTGTGTTAACAAAGCGTTTTCCCCCCCTTTTTTGGTCAAAAAAAAAATGCTTGGCAAATTGTTGGACTCGGTTGCTGAACACACATATATCTGTGGGTGCTTTGGGTGGCAGATGGAAGGGTCTGTGGACGAGGACTGCAACAGGTCCGACGAGGAATACGACGACCTGGCCATGCGGGACAGTATGGAGAATGGTTATCTGAGCGACGACGGCATCATGGTGCACACCGGCCTAAGCAAATGCCTGAGCAACAGGTTTCCGGACGGCAGCCAGCATAATAACCGCGGCACGCCGAGGAAACACCTAGAGTCTCTGCGAAGCCTGTCGAAGGTTGATACCAGCACACATGTTCCTGACACGGCGCGCTCTTGTGCTGCCGCTGCCGCTGCCGCTGCCGCTACCCCTGGTGGCAAGAGAAACACGGCTAGGAAGTGGAGGCGGTCCCTGAGCGAAAAGATCCGTTCGCGGCCGCGGAGCTGCCCCTCTCTCGCGGAAGTGGCAGCCAAGCCCAAGGGCTCAGCTGCTGTTCCAGTGGTTCCTGAGTCTTAAAGGGTCCTGAGAGGTAGGGAAGGCCTATATCTATATGGTTGATGTAATAATAAGAGAATAATAACCAGGGAAGGGAAGGGAGAGCAGCTGCTGCATTGCATTGCATTGCATGAAGGTAGTAAGTATAATATGTGCATGCATGATGTTTGTTTGTTGGGAGGCTGCAAAGGGATGACAGATGAATGAATAATGCAAGTCCCTCTAACCGGTCGGTTAACTTGCTGTAGTAGCATTTTCTTGTTTCTTTCTTTCTTGCTGTTTTGGTCTGGAATTTAGAGTCTTTGTGTGTGTGTGTGTGTGTGTGTGTGTGTGTGTGTGTGTGTGTGTGTGTGTGGAATCTCCAAATAAACAAACAAACAAACATGTTGTAGCAATTCAGTAGAGGCTGATAGGAATTGTAGTAATTCAGTAGATAGGAAACATATATATGTTGCTACTGATCATGGATGGTGTTGCTGTGACTGATTGAATGGATGTATTGATAACACAAGAAATCCATTCCATTCCATTCCATTCATATTCTTGTTGTGTAGGAAAAATCGGAACGCCTCAAATATAAATAAGTAGTCTCTCTGTATCAAAACGTAAGACATATTTTGCTTTTGCACAGGGCATAAAAAAAGGTTTTACGTTTTGTTATGGAGGGAGTATAACAAACAAACAAACAAACAAACATGTAGTTGGGCATATGAGCCGAGTCCATACAAATACAAGCAAGTAATTAAACCGGATGTTCCTTTACAATAGAAAAATGTCACAACAACATCCAACTTTACAATATGAAAATATGTACCGCAGTCAATCTATTGACATTTATTTTGGTATCAAGAATGTCGATATGTTTTTTTCTATAATGTTGATCAAACTTTACAATGTTTGTCTTAAGACAAAAATAATATGCCTAGTAAAAAGAAACATAAGACTATTGAGCCTACGATAATTATTAGTTCCTCTAGCTTTGGTTCATTCTGTTTGTTTCTATTTATTATGTACCACTTGCTGCCTATTACATTTACATACTCCCATGTTCCAAAATAAGTGTCTCAAGTTTAGTACAACTCTGTACTAACGTCAGTACAAAGTTGAAACACTTATTTTGAGACTGAGAGACTGTAGAACTCATTACTATATGTGGTTCCAATATATAAAATACTAGTATGACTCTTTAAGTTTTTCAAAGTATGTAATCCACGCAACAAGACATACTCCCTCCTTCCATATATATATGGCCTAATAGGTCTTTCAAGGCAGCCTTTGACCAATTATAAAACTATAAGTATATGAGATGTATGATATACAAATTATATCATTAGAAACTTCTTTCACATACGAATTCGATGACATGCTTTGTGTAACATGCATGCATGTCATATATCATTGTGCTAACCCGTGGTCAGAGGTAATCTCGAAATATGCAACATGTTATATAAAAATAAAATACAAGTGACATACGGCATGCCGTATGCAATTCATTCATTATACAAGCCAGCCAGCCAGCCAAGAATAAACTTAATAAAAACAGAGTTTCAGTTTCAGGTGACAAGCAACAACTTTGATAGTAAATAGTACTGTAGTAGCCTTGCTTACACGCATCTGTTTGGTGCCTTTGCCGCCGCACAAACATGAGGAGTTTAGGCATCACCCGTCATATGCATGCATGCATGCATGGATAACTTCATCTTCATCATAACAACTCTTCATCAAATACTAACTACAGTAGACCCTAGAGAACATCTCACCCAGCAGCAGCAGCAGAATGCAAACATCTTCTACACATTGACACATAGATAGATAGATATAGATAGATAGATAGATAGATAGGCTCAGTCGTCCGACATGCCGCCCGACTTGCTCTTCAGGTGCTCCTTGAACTCCATGATGTCCCCCTCCCACCGCGTCACCGCCTGCTTCTCGCACACCCAGATCTCCTGCGCCACCTGGTTGATCAGCCTGAAGTCATGGCTCACCAGCACCAGGCCCCCGTCCCACTCGTTCAGCGCCTCCGCCAGCGAGTCGATCGTCTCGATGTCCAGGTGGTTCGTCGGCTCGTCCAGCAGCAGCATCTGAGGCTCGCGCCATGCCAGCCACGCGAAGATCACCCGGCTCCGCTGCCCGTCCGACAGGTTGCGCATCGGCATCACCTGCGCCTTCCCCGACAGCCCGAACCTGCCGATCGCCGCCCGCATCCGCTCCTCCTCGTTACCCGGGTACTCGTTCAGCATGTACTGCAGCGCAGACAGGTCCAGGTCCAGCTTCTCCGCCAGGTGCTGGTGGAACTGCGCGATCCGCAGGTGGTTGTGCCGCCGCACCATCCCGTCCAGCGGCACCAGCTCCCCCGTCATCAGCTTCAGCAGCGTGCTCTTACCCGCCCCGTTGGGCCCCACCAGCGCCACCCGCGAGTCCAGGTCCACGCCAAAGTCCAGCTTCTTGTAGATCAGGTTGTCCGGCGTGTACCCGAACGTCACCTCCACAAACTGCAGCACCGGCGGCGGGAGCTTGCCCACGTTGGCGAACCGGAACGTCAGGATCCTGTCCCTCGCCACCTTCTCCGTCAGCCCGCCGCGCTCCATCTTGGCCAGCGTCTTCTCCTTGCTCTGGGCCTGACGTGCCAGCTTGGCGGACCCGTGCCCGAAGCGCGCGATGTACTCCTTCATCGACGCAATCTGGTCCTGCTCCCACCTGTACTGCTTCATCTGGTTCTCCTCCAGCTCAGATCGCGTCTGGACATACTGGTCGAAATTCCCAGTGTACAGCTTCAGCTTCCTGTTCTGCATGTGGATGATGTTGGTACATACTCCATTCAGGAAGTCTTGAGAGTGTGATATCACAACAAGTATACGGTCAAATTTCTTCAGCGTTTCTTCCAGCCACACGCATGCCTCAAGATCTGCAAATGTTGCCACAGAACCGCCAGCAATATTATTACTATTAATCCACAAAAGCTTCTTTATTTATTTGGCTTCAGAAATCATTTTGTACTGGGTACTATATTATCTCAGTCAACCTCAACTCAAACAGCTAAGCAGTAATCATGCTATTTTTACAAACGTTCCTAAACATGATAAAACTGATTGTGTCAATGGAAGATGAGAAAATGTAGGCCTGGAGCTATCAAAACAATCTACCAACACCATCTCACAATCAGCGCAAGTAAATCTTTGGCAAAACAGGTCCACTAGAGAACTATAAGTGAAGCTTTTTAGGTTTCATCCCACCGCCACCCAACAAAGTTAAGTCCAACAAAGTCAGGAATTAAGACCCAAATGTGTCACGACATGTATAACCAAAACCTGTAACAACCTACATTGATGGTGATTTATGTGGTCAGCAGACCAACAGGTTCTCCAGCATAGCTGCTCCTACAGCCAGGCATTCCTACAGCAAGGCGCACATCACTGTTCATCATAACAAAGGAAGCCATGGCAGAAGCACTTGAACTTGGCAAAATTGAAGGCATTTTTGAAAACAGTATAAAAACCATTGACTTTGGGTGCATCAATTGACAACTATGAGCTCATCGTACACCGGGGAGAATACTTCGGGACTCATTGTTCATTTTCCTAATCTACAGCGTGACTTGCTGAAGAGCATGTGATTTGGTAATAAAGAAACAGAAAGCACCAGGCCCACTTTACTACTTGCAACACATGGGTTGGAGAAAAACTCACCAAGATGATTGGTAGGCTCATCGAGCAAAAGGATGGTTGGATTCATGAACAGAGCTCTTGCCAAAGCAATCCTCATGCGCCAACCGCCAGAAAAGTCCCTGGTTTTCTTGGCCTGCATCTGCTTGTTAAAGCCTAAGCCAAACAAAATCTCAGCAGCACGCTTTTCAGCGGTGGATGCATCAATTGCTTCTAACCGCTCATATACGCGCTCCAAAGCTGCACCACCGCCATCATCCTAAATATGCCAGCACAGGTAGGTATTTGTCAGAACACGCCGAGAGATGAGTCGGTATAAGTAGTACAACAACAGAGCAGAGCAGAGCAGGCATTGGCATTGCAAAAGGAAAGGTACATAGGGGGCTTGAAGAACAAGATGATGATGATAGCAGAAAAATTGATTGATGAGAAGAGAAACATACTTGAGCAGCCAAAACTTCAGCTTCCTTTTCCAGCTTGACCCTTTCTTCATCACAGCTAATGACGGCTCCAAGTGCAGACATGTCTGAAGCCTCGATCTCATGGCTGAGGTGGTATATATCCATGTGGTCAGGGATAGGAAGCTCCCTGCACCCTATTGCTTTGAGAAGGCAGGACTTGCCGCAGCCATTCAGACCAAGCAAACCATAGCGCCTGAGATGGAATAATAAATAAAGCCGTTAAACATCCAAGATGACAGCGGCAAGAGGTTGCTTGGGGGAAGAGTGTGATGATGATGATGGCATATTGTAGCAACCTGCCGTAGTTGAGCTCCAGTTCTGTGTCTACAAGTAGGTCGTGGCCGTGGAATGTTAAAGTGAGAGACTCAATCTGCAAGTGAAGTGGCATTCATTCATCAAGAGAGACAGACAGAAAACAGAGTTATATCATGCATCATTATATCTTGTAGTGCAAGTGACATTCATCAAGACACAGACAGACAGACAGACAGAAAACAGAGTTAGATCATTCATCATTATATCTTGCAGTAGAGTAGAGAAGCATCTAAGGCAATAGAAAGAAAATTTTCCATATTGTAATCTTTCTTTCTTGTGATATAATAATAATAATAATAATCAGAAGAGAGTGGGCACACAAGTCATGATAATAATTAAATAATGAATCCACGACAAAAAAAAACTTGTGCTTGTTTTGTACTATTCCTAGAAGACTAGTTTTGTTGGGGATTAGATTAGATTAGATTAGATTGGATTGGATTAGGTGCTGATCTGCATCTGCAGCGCAGCGCAGCGCAGGCAATATATTTATTTGAAAGAAAGACTAATCCATAGAATAGAATAGATAGATGAGAGGAAGAGGAAGAGGAAGAGGAAGAGGGATCTGACCTGATCTCATCTGACAGAGGAGAGGATAGGAGAGGAGAGGAGAGGAGAGGAGAGTAGACGTACGTGTATGTCGCGGGAGAGCGGGTGGGAGGTGAGCACGGCGGTGCAGGTGCGGTCCGAGAGCTGGACGGCGGCGAGGGCGTCGGCAGCGGCCTTGGCCCCAGTCTTGTTGGCGGAGGCGGAAGACGATGCGGAGGAGGAGGCGGGCACCTTGGCGCCCCTCTTTGCGGCGGCGGCGGCCTTCTTCTGCGCCGCCTTCTTCTTGCTGGCGTCCGACACCATCTCGTCTCCGAGCTAGGTGCGGTGTGGTGTGGTGTGGTGTGGTGGGTGATGGCAGACGGCGCCGGCGAGGTGGAGAAGAAGAAGAAGAAAAAGTTCCTTCCTTCCAGAACCCTCCCCTCTTCTACTTTGTTGGATTGGACTAGTCAACAAACAACACCAGGAAATACCTGGGCTGTACACGTGTGTTTGCTCTTATTCTTTTTCTAAAGCAACAAAAAATAAAGTGGTGAAAGCCAACAAGACACGTATGCCCCCTCCCTCTACCTGCTTCATGGAGCAACTAATTACGGAGCGCTTCTCTGCAAAGAAGCCTCTGAACGATGGCTTGAGGTGAGTTGAAAGCTCTCAGTTGTCGCCACGTGTCCGTCGCCCAACTATTTTAGTCTGTTACGCCCGGAAAAGTTGGATCGCTCGAGGCGATCAGGGAGGCGACTAGGGGGCCCTTGCGCGCCGCCGGTGATGCCGCCGGTTCCCTCTCTCTCCGTCGGCCGCTCCGGCGGCGGGAGGGAGGGGGAACCTCGGGTCTGTTCACTAGGTGGGTGTGTGGTAGGGTTAGGGTTGAGGGAGACGCTGCCGAGGCCGTTGCGGTGGTGTCACGTCGGAATAAGTTTCTCCGGACTCCGTTCGCGGCCAGGCGAGGCTTTTGCCTTCGTCTAGGAGCCAGCGGTGTTGGGGATCCCCGAATCTCGTCGAGGTCGCGGGCTATGGTGGTTGGAGGTCCATCGGCACTGGCCCTTTGGATCGTCAGATGGGCGATGGCGGTAGGGAGACGAAGACCTTTCTTCTTCCTTGTTGGTACGATTTGTTGCTGCTGTTCTTCTCCTTCCTCTGCGTTGATGCTGGTGGGAGATCCTGCTTTGCCCGGGCGGATGGCCCGGCCGCGGTGCCGGACCGGTCAGAAGACTCGAGTTCTCTTCCTTCCGGAAGGGACACTTTTCGCGATACTCAAAGCCAAAGATGGCGACGACTGTTGCAGGTGTGTTGGATTGACGTCCATGCCCTCTCAGCGCTGGTGTCAAGAAAGGAGGAAGCAGCGTGGTGGCAATTATATCGTGGTCGAAGATGACGACCTGTTTGCGACTGGTTGCAGATCCTTCTGTTGCAGGGGTCTTCTCTCAAGATTCAGGGATGATGACACAGGGCTCCGGAGATCTTCTTGTGTTATGGTTGTCTTAGGGTACTCTAGGTGTTCATGGTCCTTTGTTTTTGCGTTTCAATGTGCTTGTAAGGGTCACCTACTCTGTACTGATTCCTGATTTGAATGAACAATTTCTCAAAAAAAAAAGTTGCCGCCACGTGTCACGTTCTCGACACTGTTCTGTTTTTTTTCTGTGCATGTGTTTTTGTCTTTTTAGATGTTTCTTTTTCCGGTTCGACTTTTTCTTGCTCGCGTCCGACACCATGGCTGCTGCTCTCGTCTCATCTGGAAATGAAAGCAAATATTTTTTTCCTTTTGTGAGAGGCACGATTTTGTTTCCACGAGAGGCATAGTTGTGCTTCTTAGAAACGGGAAAAATGTGTTTTCACTTTTTTTTCTTTTTCTGTGAGAGGCACGGTTTTGTTTTTGCAAGAAGCATGGCCGTGCCTTTCGGAAATAAAGAAAAAACTAGTCTTTTTCCCTTTCATGAGATACACGGTTTTTCTCCCGCGAGAGGCACAACCGTGCCTCTCATACATATTTGAAACTCATTGTTTTAGAATCCCGGAGCAATTTCTATAGTTGTTGACCCCCAAGGTGCGCTTACGTGTCGGTCATCAACACTTGCAGTTTTGGCCGATTCTGGCCCGTTTCATAGACTATTACTCACTATTTTGGGGTCCAAGAGCTATTTCCATGATTGACGATCCCTGGAGCTATTTTCATGATTGACGATCCCTGGGGCGTGTTTATATGTCGATCATCAACACTCGCAATTTTGGACGATTTTGCCCTGTTTCATGGACTATTACTCATAGATTTGGGGTCCCTGAACGATTTCCATGATTGACGAACCCAGGGATGCGTTTATGTGTCGTTCATCAATAATCCTCCTTTTTCCGATTCTGGGCTCTTTCGTGGACTATTACTCACCATTTTGGGGTCTCATGGTTGTTGAACCCCAAGGTGCGCTTATCTGTCGGTTATCACTAATCGCAGTTTTGGCCGATTCTGGCCCCTTTTCTTGGACTATTACTCACTGTTTTGGGATCCCGAAGTGATTTCCATGATTGACGAACCCCGGGGTGCGTTTACGTGTCGGTCATTAACACTCACGGTTTTTGTCGATTCTGACCCATTTCATGGACTATTACTCACCGTTTTGGGGTCCCAAAGTGATTTCCATAGTTGTTGTACCCCAAGGTGCCCTTACGTATCGGTCATCAACCATCACAATTTTGGCCGATTCTGGCCCGTTTCTTGGACTATTACTGAGTTTTGGGGTCCCGGAGCTATTTTCATGATTGATGATCCCCGGGGCGCGTTTATCTGTCGGTCATCAACACTCACAGTTTTGGCCGATTCTGCCTCATTTCATGGACTATTACTCATAGATTTGGGGTCCCTGAGCGATTTCCATGATTGACGAACCTAGGGGTGTGTTTATGTGTCGTTCATCAATAATCCTCTTTTTTCCGATTCTGGGCTCTTTCGTGGACTATTACTCACCATTTTGGGGTCTCATGGTTGTTGAACCCCAAGGTGCGCTTATATGTCGGTTATCACTAATCACAGTTTTGGACGATTCTGGCCCCGTTTCTTGGACTATTACTCACTGTTTTGGGATCCCAGAGTGATTTCCATGATTGACGAACCCCGGGGTGCGTTTACGTGTCGGTCATCAACACTCATGGTTTTTGTCGATTCTGACCCGTTTCGTGGATAATTACTCACCGTTTTGGGGTCCCAAAGTGATTCCCATAGTTATTGTACCCCAAGATGCCCTTACGTGTCGGTCATCAACAATCGCAGTTTTGGTCGATTGTGGCCCGTTTCTTGGACTATTACTGAGTTTTGAGGTCCCGGAGCTATTTTCATGATTGACGATCCTTGGGGCGCGTTTATCTGTCGGCCGTCAACACTCACAGTTTTGGCTGATTCTGCCCCGTTTCATGGACTATTACTCATAGATTTGGGATCCCTGAGCGATTTTCATGATTAAAGAACCCAGGGGTGCGTTTATGTGTCGTTCATCAATAATCCTCTTTTTTTCCGATTCTGGGCTCTTTCGTGGACTATTACTCACCATTTTGGGGTCTCGTGATTGTTGAACCCCAAGGTGTGCTTATATGTCGGTTATCACCAATCGCAGTTTTGGCCGGTTCTGGCCCCGTTTCTTGGACTAGTACTCACTATTTTGGGATCCCGGAGTGATTTCCATGATTGACGAACCCCGGGGTCTGTTTACGTGTCGGTCATCAAAACTCACGGTTTTTGTCGATTCTGACCCGTTTCGTGGACTATTACTCACCGTTTTAGGGTCCCAAAGTGATTTCCATAGTTGTTGTATCCCAAGGTGCCCTTATGTGTCGGTCATCAACAATCGTAGTTTTTGCCGATTCTGGCCCGTTTCTTGGACTATTACTAAGTTTTGGGGTCCGGGAGCTATTTTCATGATTGACGATACCCGGGGCGCGTTTATCTGTCGGTCATCAACACTCACAATTTTGGCCGATTCTGCCCCGTTTCATGGACTATTACTCACAGATTTGGGGTCCCTGAGCGATTTCCATGATTGACGAACCCAGGGGTGCGTTTATGTGTCGTTCATCAATGATCCTCTTTTTTCCCATTCTGGGCTCTTTCATGGACTATTACTCACCATTTTGGGGTCTCATGGTTGTTGAACCCCAAGGTGCGCTTATATGTCGGTTATCACTAATCGCAGTTTTGGCCGATTCTGGCCCCGTTTCTTGGACTATTACTCACTGTTTTGGGATCCCAAAGTGATTTCCATAATTGACGAACCCCGGAGTGCGTTTACGTGTCGGTCATCAACACACACGGTTTTTGTCGATTCTGACCCATTTCGTGGACTATTAGTCACCGTTTTGGGGTCCCAAAGTGATTTCCTTAGTTGTTGTACCCCAAGGTGCCCTTACGTGTCGGTCATCAACAATCGCAGTTTTGGCCGATTCTGGCCCGTTTCTTGGACTATTACTGAGTTTTGGGGTCCCGGAGCTATTTTCATGATTGACAATCCTCGGGGCGCGTTAATCTGTCGGTCATCAACACTCATAGTTTTGGCTGATGCTGCCCCGTTTCATGGACTATTACTCATAGATTTGGGGTCCCTGACCGATTTCCGCGATTGACGAACCCAGGGGTGCGTTTATGTGTCGTTCATCAATAATCCTCTTTTTTCCGATTCTGGGCTCTTTCGTGGACTATTACTCACCATTTTGGGGTCTCATGGTTGTTGAACCCCAAGGTGCGCTTATCTGTCGGTTATCACTAATCGCAGTTTTGGCCGATTCTGGCCCCGTTTCTTGGACTATTACTCACTGTTTTCGGATCCCGAAGTGATTTCCATGATTGACGAACCCCGGGGTGCGTTTACGTGTCGGTCATCAACACTCACGGTTTTTGTCGATTCTGACCCGTTTCGTGGACTATTACTCGCCGTTTTGGGGTCCCAAAGTGATTTCCATAGTTGTTGTACCCCAAGGTGCCCTTACGTGTCGGTCATCAACAATCACAGTTTTGGTCGATTCTGGCTCGTTTCTTGGACTATTACTAAGTTTTGGGGTCCCGTTGCTATTTTCATGATTGACGATCCCCGGGGCACGTTTATCTGTCGGTCATCAACACTCATAGTTTTGGCCGATTCTGCCCCGTTTCATGGACTATTACTCATAGATTTGGGGTCCCTGAGCAATTTCCATGATTGACAAACCTAGGGGTGCGTTTATGTGTCGTTCATCAATAATCCTCTTTTTTCCGATTCTGGGCTCTTTCGTGGACTATTACTCACCATTTGGGGTCTCATGGTTGTTGAACCCCAAGGTGCGCTTATCTGTCG